ATAGAACTAAAAACAAAGTCCTATCTTTATAAACCAGAAATTTAAACTACTTTTGTGAAACAAGATCTAAAAGAAGTGTTAAGTATAAGGGTAAAAGTGTGGACTTCCACTAGAGCCCGTCGGATCCAACAATTTTGAATCCGGACACGATCTCGTTTGTGTCTGAAACCAGAGCAACGTGCCCTATTGAACACAAACAATTTATTTTTAACACTAATAACCGAAAGCAACTAGCTCTTCAGAGAAAACTCAAGATCAGTAAAACTTTGAAAAATATTCGCATATGCATCAAAAATTGATTTAGACCCGGACCCGATTAAAATTAAATTTTTGGACCCGGATCCGATAGGCTCTAACTCCCACAGCGCCTGTGATAGACGTTGATATACGATCACAAATCGTATATCAATAAAGTCTCGTTATAATATGGATTAAGTACAAAATGATGAAGAAACGTGTCTCAAACTGGATAATTCTCATAGGAATCTCATCATATTCAAAGGATGAAGTATTAAAAATGATAAATCAACCATCTTGTATATACGGGGAGACTATTCAATTTCGATTAGAAAATTTCAATGGGCATATCAAAGTACTGTTCGAACATTTTGGACTCGACGGACAGTACTCATCATACAACGAAAAACCATTGTAAAACACTCCATAAAACTATATTTATTCTATTTAGATGGAATCAACAAAAGTCAAATTAACGATGAAGACGATGAATTAGCTCTATTCGATTATGCTTTTTCATCTTCAAAACCAACAGAAACAACAAGCTCTTCAAAAAAAGTAACTTCAACTATACCACCAACTTCTATTCAACAATTTACTTCACGTTATTCATCTTTAACAAATACTCAAAATGATTCCGACTCATCAACTTCTACTAATCATACTCGAGCAGAAACTTCTAGTGATGGTCGTCGTATTGCTCATCAACCAAAAGTTCATCCAACTTCAAATAATTCTTCATTTATACCTTTATTACAACCATTAGTTGATCCAAATTCAAGTATTAATAAAATTCCTTTTAAAACTCGACAAGAATATTTAACATTTTTTTTAAATGAACTTAAAAATCGGCCAATAAATACGAATGATTTAACAACTCCAACAACACCAGTTTTTTCACGTGCACAAACAATTGAAAAAGAAATTTTTGATAAATCAACAAATAAAAATTCATATCTAAATTTAGCTGCTAAATATTTACGACAATTAAGATCCGAAGAAACAACTAATAAAAATAAAACTGAACAAATCTCATCGAAAAAATCCAATGTACAACGAATTACAGTTTCACATTCAGCTATGCTAACCGGTGGTAGAACAGATAATGTGAGTTTTGGAATTAAAAAACAAAAGGAAACCGACATTAAATCATTAACAGGTGAATAAATGAAAACAAAAAGAATTTTTTTTATTTTTATAAATAATTCAAAAATTTTATTTAGACAATGAAATTTATACATTTTTACTTGTCTATAAAACATCTGAACGAGATTTAATAGAGAATGGTTATCCAGCATTTTCACTTGATTTTCCAGATAAAGTTTTAATTAAAAATAAAAATCCGATTTATAATTCCACGAATAAAAATTATTCATCTGATCGTAAATATCTATTTCGATTTCATATCAAAAAAGAAGAAAGTAATTTTTTATTTTGTTGTAGCAAATACACGTGTATGTTGTCGATGTAGTAAAACTTATAGAATTGATAAAAATGGAGAATACATAAAACAGGAAGATTGTATTTATCACTGGGGACGGATGCGAACACAACGAAGTGAAATAAAAATTGTTTCTTTGCCATTAAAATATTTTATTTTTTTTTAATAATTAGTTGCTGGACAAATTGAAAAAACTTATTCATGTTGTTCTGCGAAAACAAATACAGTTGGTTGTGCTGTTTCAAAATATCATGTAAATGACGGCGATGATACACAATTATTATCAGGTTATGTTAAAACTCAGCCTCTTCGAAAACAATTAGGTGGCAATGAATGTTATGGCATTTATGCACTTGATTGTGAAATGGTAAGAATATGAATATTTGTAAAGAAATATTGACTTAGGAAATAAGCTGTAGATTACTTGAGAAGATTATTTGTTGGATTATAATAGTTAATTCTTTGATATTTATTGATAGATTGTAAGGATTTGATACTCACTTCATGTATAAAGTATTTTAGTTTATATTATAGTTATTAAAAATATATATTTAAAAATTATGCGTGATCGGTAAGTAATTTGAAAACATTGAATTAGAATCAGAATTTTTTCGAACTCACATATATTTTTCAAGTCGATGTTTTGCGGCTCTCTTCATTTCCTGGAGTTCCGTAGTAATTAACAATTTACACTTAAACTTCTCTAGAACATTCCAAAGCTTTCGTTGAAATTTTAATACGCTTGTGGATGTTCTAAACAGTACAATTTCTGATTTTTGTGTAAATAAAAATTTATATTCAACATGTTGAGGATGATTCATTGATTTGCCAGAGGCATCATATGATCAATATAAAAAGCGTGAAGTAATTATCAATATCAGTATTTCTAAGTTTATCGAGATATGTTATAGTGCGTTGAAACTTGCTGTAGATATAGTGGATGCCTAGTTTTGTCGTTTCTCATAATGATATTTATGCATCGTGGTTTTCATCGATGCGTATAGACGCATAAATTATATGACTTTTGCGCTTCACTGAAACTGCTATTCTCTTTGCAAAATTTTCCCGTAAGAAGGCAAATAACACAAAGAGCGCCAATAAAACCAAGAATAAATAAGAGATCATTTCACAGGTGATAGATTATCCTTGGAACACAACTATAGTGTGCGAAAGACTTTTCACTTAATGGATTTTGTGTTAGTAAAATAAGGTTAGAGAATACACGTGAGTTTTAGAGACGCGAACATTAAGTTTGAATGGAGAAAGTTGAAATTTTTTTTTGCATAGAATTAAAGACTAGATTGTTCTCTGTAAAGTAACCTAAGAATCAAGAACTCCAGAACAATCATTCAGGAATGACTGAACTCATTTGTCAAGTCTAGTTTCCATAGAAATCGAGAAATTAACATGGTTCGTCTTACCAAAATAGTCACTGTTCACAAATGAAATCATTAATATACCATTTTTATCGAGAAATGTTTTGCTCTTTTATTCGTGATATTTGAAATCATTTTTCGCTTCTACTTTAACTTTTTGTACGCTGAAGGTCGTCAAAACTTAATTTATGAGCTCCGAAAAAGCCAGCTCATAGTTTCTAAACCATAAAAAAAAGTTTGAATCTATATTCCGAAAGCAAACAGTATTTGAATTCTCACCAAATGTTTTTAAATCTCGGCAGACTCTTTTTTAGGCACTGAAAAAAGTGAATGAACATTTTATCAAATTACTTTTTCGATCATCTTTTTTATATCTTCTAGTGTTATACAATCAATGGTCTTGAACTTGTTCGTGTTAGTGTTGTTGATCATAAAATGCAACCAGTATATGAAACATTAGTTAAACCTCATCATAAAGTACTTGATTATAATACTCGTTGGTCAGGAATAACTGAAAATCAATTAAAAGCATGTAATATAACCATAGAAGATGTGCAAAGACGTTTATTAAAATTATTTAATGAGAAATCAATTCTTATTGGTCATTCATTAGAAAGTGATTTAAAAGCATTAAAAGTAACGACAAATAACACAATTCTTTTCTTTAAATCATTTAATTTATATTAGATTGTACATGAAACTGTTGTTGATACATCTCTAGTTTTTCCACATGCAAAAGGAAAACCATTTAAACGTGCATTGAAAACATTAATGACAGAATTTTTAACAAAAATTATTCAAGAAAATAGTAAGAAGATAATTATTTACAAACAAAAAAAATATCTAGTTATTATTAATATGTTGTTTCATTTAGCCGACGGACATGATTCAATGGAAGATGCTATATCATGTATGGAACTTATGTTATGGAAAGTAAAACAAGACCTTAAAAATGGTTCATCGAATCATTAACATGAACATTTTTCTATATTTTCTTCGATAGTAAAAATATTGCTTTTGTTTCAATATATATATTTATTTCTATATACATAACTTAAATAATCGAACATATATTTATATTAGTCCATAATTAATGTCTTTCGTTCACTTAATTTCTAGCGAAAATGTTTTCTGTGCATGTGTGCATTTTTTTCCACTAAAAAAATGAAGTGGTTGAACTGATCTTTTCAATAATTAAGAATAAATATGACACAATGAATTTGAAAATAGAAATAAATAATTTGGTTGAATGCAAATAATTTTAATAGCAAAAGATAGACACGAACTAAATTTTTGTAATTCGACAACAATTTTAAATTTCCTTTAGTTTATGCCTTGCTTTTCAGAGTGTTCCGAGATCGCTGGGATTGGGACAGAGGAATCGTTGACTCAAGTGGTCTATATTGAAAGATTTTTGCTAAAATTGATCGGATAATTCTGACAGGAAAGGGATTTGATCGTTTTATTAGGAATTGGTGAGCAAAACGAACAATAAAACGCTGGAAGTCCGATAGAAAAAGAAAACGATAATTGTTCAAGATTGGGAGATATCTTCTCCACTCGAGATATTCTTGTTTGGTTTGGATCAATAAAATCACTTATATTTTTTTTGTAATTCTTATATGAATTATAGAATTCAAGTTAATCTTGCTTTCATAAGATTAATCGTTCATATGCAAATATTTGATGTTGTCATGAGTAAATGCCTTTATTATTTGTTCAACGGCAATGAAATAAGACAAGAAGATAGAAAATTACAATAAAAGAAGATTCTTAGAAAACAAACAAATAAATGTCCTTATAGGACCGACTTTTCTCTTCGCATTTTTATTATAGATTTTTTCTTTGTAGAAATCATTTCCTATCCTAGTACAATATACAATGAAAAAATCAATTAAAATGTCTTTGGGGAATGTTTTTTACTCATTTTATATGTTTATTGTTTTTTATAAATTTGGTAAAGCAACATCACAATAAGCAGTATCACAGAGTAAATGATCAGCATCATAACCAGTAGTATCACAAAGCGAAGGATCAGCATTTAGCATAATACTGTCCATATCTATATAATCAGAATAAGTGAAAACATCAGAATGATTTTTATTTATATTAATTGAATCTCCAGATAAGTAGTTAGTTTGAGGTAAATCCTATTCAAAAAATAACAAAATAATCAAATAGTTTCAGATTATATAAATTGACGGAAATAACAATACTGAAGATATTTTCTATTACTTACGGAGAGAAGTTCTGAATTGGATGGTGAAATATCTAACATTGTTTGAGATGTAGTATCTATAACTTGACTAATGTTATGGTATACTGGAAGACCGTGATTGAGATGCATAGAAGAATCATCATTGTTTGCAGGCGGAGTTGCCATCGATGAATGATCTTTTTGTCTTCTTCTTATTGTACGTTTGGGTCGTTGCTTTGAACTATTTTCTAAAATATATTTTTTATTAGAATCAAGAGATAAAGAAAAAGAGATAGTGTACGACGCTTCTTTGACCGATTTCGTTTTGATGATGTTGATGTTACATTTTTTGGAATATCCAAAATATTCTCTGCACCGAATGTGGTAATTCTCTCTAAATATTCGAAAAAATGTTTTCTATCTGTAATAAACTCACTTATTATTACTTTTGAAAACCATTTCATTCGATAGAACCATAGTATCCCATTGAATAACATCATCTTTTTGCAGAACAAGAGCTAGACGAGATTTACTATAATCATATGATGAATCTAATAATTCACTTTCATTGGTATCTTCGAGCTGACATAAAATATTTAAGGATGCATCAGGATGTTTTTTTGCTCCTTCAATTACAACAATTATTAGTTTGAGTCTATAAATGATAACAGCAAAAAAAATTCAAAATCGAAACAGTGAATTTAGTTTACTCCATTCCCATGTTACTCATCCAATCGTCACTTGTTATAGGTATTTTGTATGGATTAGACGATTGTTTCACATTATCTTTTTCTACAAAAGCTCGTTGTGGATGATAGAAGAGCGACCGCTTATCCAATTGACACACGTCCAATATAATGAAAACAAGCAAAGTCCAGACGTGAGCCGTTCTATTTTTAATGTCCTTATGCCAAATCTATGAGTAATAAAAAAGGGCAGCACTCGTATTAAGAATGCACCAGTGACGGTGATCACCAATGCACTGGCCTAGACATGCACGTATAAAATAATGGTGTTCTTAGATTCCTTTTGACGTTCTCGGTCCAAGGAGGTCTATTTCAGGAAAATAGTTGAGTTTCATAAAACATCACTTAACCGTAAGAACTAATCCTTGCTCGAATGAGAAAATCGAACTCAAGAATTTCGATAGACTTTCTATAGATTCGAATTCCTAGACACTGTAAACCTTAGTCTATTTTTTATACAATTTAGCTATTTTTTTTAAATGACCTCTCGACTGAAAAAATCGAAGATCACCATAATTTTATCATATGTTCACCATTAATCTAAGCGTACATGTTCAGACTAGCGCACTACTTTCACCGATAGTACACTATGCCAGTGGACAATGCAACGTCTTCGTTAAATCTCTAAATCGTAAGTACATGATTTTGTTAAATAGGTTTACTTTAAATCGAGGTAATACACTTTTATATGTATTTGCTGAATTTTTTGGAGCTTGAATCATACTAAGTGTACCGACAATATGTCCTGTGCTGACATTTATTTGATCACAAGGGTACTGATCTCTTTGTTCACTATTGACATTATAATCAGGAATAAAACCTATTTTTGGATCGTTAGATAAGCGAATAATAGAACATGTTTGCGGTTTTGAAATCGATATAGATTGATCAATTTGGTGGGTATGTTCATTTTTTTGGGTGGCTGTTTCCAAAACTATGAAATAAAATTATCGATTAAAATACATAACTGTTTGAATGGAAACAAACTTTCTTCAGTCTGCATGAATTCTTGATCAATAATAGAGTTGGACGCATAATCTAGAGAAGAAAGATTTATGATTATAGAGAATAAAACCAACTTGCTGCTAACTGACTTACTTAATAAGATAATTTGCACTATAACCGTTGGCGTTGGTGAATTGATTGATTGAACAGTAGTTGTGTCGATTGTTGTAGCTTTAAAAGGATTGTAGTCTTCCAAATAATCATCATCCAAAGTAACAAAATCATCGTCTTTATCATAAATTTGAATGTCAAATGGAGGCTTAAAATTTTTACACTTTTTTAAGATGAAATTTTCAATATCTTTCCTTTTTGTTATTCCGGTAAGTTTCGGTGTTTTATAAGTACATATTTTTTTACGATGACAATTGAGAATATTTAATTTTGTATTAACTTCCATGACGTTGCAACCTTATTCTTCTCGTCTGTTAATATGAATGCGATACATCTGAATCTCATACATACGTTTAGGGATGATAGCGATGGAAAACTTCAGCTCATCGTATGCAAATTTCGAACCAATCAAATGTTTTTTCCTACTGAATCATTTGAATTTGCATTTACAAATAAACAAGAACGAGAAAAACAAAAATAAATAAATTTCATTTGTAAAAAATAAGAGCACGAATACTCAAGATATTGACTACCTTTCTCCCTTGTTTTTTATCGTTTCATATGGGCGAGAATGAAAGAAAAAGAAAAAAAAAACAAATTTCTACTCGTAGGAAAATGTGCAGGAATATTCAAGCTGGTGTCTTCACCTTTCTGTGCATCAAGTAAAAAGTACAAGAACGTAAAACGATAGAAAACATTACAATTTCATCACCATAAAAACAGATTGAAATATTCAAACTCATTATATTGTCTATAAAGTATAAAACAAAATACTATCCAAGATAAAGGAAAACATCCATATACGTTTGGACACTTGCTGAATATAATATATACAAAAATAATTGTTGTATTCGGTATATGGCTTCGTACAATCTTCATGTTCGATTCAACCACAAATTTTATCATTTCTTGTTTAACTCAAATATGTCTTTAAATTGTATCAAAGACACAATTGGAGAATCATTCGGTATTAGTGCAGATACTTTCGAAGTTCAAGTCTACGATGAATGTTGCAACGATACCATTGTATTAGACGATGAATATTTGCAGGAATTACACGAACGATTACCTCGTACACCTATAAGCAATCTTTACGGTGATATTTTGTCAAATCATTTTTCATCAGGTAAGTTTAAATAAGCAGTATAACATTATAGAAAGAATTATATTCTAAACAATACCGAAAGAAAACTGAAAAAATACTACCCATTTCAAAATATAATGTGCTTCCCTGCCTTTTGAATAACTGTTGATAGAAAAATCATAGAGGTGTGCAGTTTGCACCATTCAAGAGAGAAGATCCAGAGCCATCGAAATGCATTGAAGTCGATTAATCAGCAATTGACCAATCAGATAAGTCTTTCGTGAAGATTTTCAAAAATGATATTCTAGAGCTATTCTCCTTTTGATTTAGACTTCTAATAGAGCTAATCGATAGAAAAAATGCTTCTCTTTCGATCTATATAAGGCCGATATTCTCAGTTTGTTTCGTTTGAGAGAGTTATAAGACTTTTCCTAAGATTCTCGATTTCAGTTAAGTAACCTGTGTTCACGTGGAAAAGCAACTAGGTAGAGGTAATTCACCATGTTGAGTCGAATGGTGATATTTGTTTTTAGTTTTGGAATGGCCTAACTGTTTTATTGCAAAATTTCTGAAATTCGACCATCAACTTCCATGTAATGAAAGACTCGACATCTCGAAAGTAAAAACAAATATCACTATTCGATCAAACATGGTGAATTATTCCTGCCTACGTATTTTTTTTCTTGAGCGATCACAGGCCAATCGACTGAAATCTGAGGTCTCAGGTAAAATCTTATAATTCTCGAATGGAACAAGCTAGGAATGTCGGCTTTATGTAAATTGAAAGAAAAGCATTTTGTATCGATTAGCGATATTAAAAGTCTGAATTGAAGGTAAATTAACATTAGAATATCATTTCGGAAAAATCTGCATCAAGAATTCACATAATTGGTCAATTGTTCATTAACCAAAATTCGACATACTTGAATGCCTACGAACCTTCTCTCGTGAATAGTGAAAATTGCAGGTCTCTATGATGTTCCTATCAAAGGTTATTCAAAAAACAGTGAAATAATTACATTTTGAAAACAGATCGATAGTAGTTAATTATTATAATCATGTCATACAGTGGCATATCTAGTTGCGGAAAAACATAGCTGTTTCAAAGAACGATTACAATCTATATAACAGCTGAATATCACTTATGCGGGCTAGAATATGAGATATTTTGTATAACTTACACCCGTGTTAGACATTTTACAAACTACCTATACAGTATGTAGCCTTAAAAAGATTTAAACTGCAACTGCTTATTTAAGATTGCTATGATCTTGATCGATGTGAAAAGGAAGCAAAATCGAACGATTCTGCACAAGGTTTATTATTCGGATGGAATACTATTGATAACGAAAATGGAACATCAGAAGAGATCAATTTGATTCAGGATCAAGAAGACAAACCCTCAAATCCCGAAGAATGGTGTATTTCAACATCAGCAGATGGTAAAATTGTTATGCAAACAAGAGAAGATTTTAATAAAGGATACCTTTTTATTTTTGCCACAGGAAACGCAGATATGTGCCAATCATATGAGTTCGATTATTCGACAAATTCTCCTCCATCACTGATTGTTGTAAATCAAATAAATTCACTATCATCAAACGATGATATAAAAAGACATATATGTGATTCCGATACATCAATTACCGAAACTATTTCGGACACATTATTTCCATCTCATAACAATGAATTAGATTTCAGTAAAAGTAGCAATCATGAGGCGCAAGCAGCTGTTCAAAACATTGTAGATACTGTTGTAAGACAACCTCCCAGTATCGAACCTTTCCCAGTAGGAACATCATGTACAAGTTATTATGAACAAAATTCAGATGATCTTACCTTACATCTTCCTGATCAAATAGCACAACCGACGACGCTATTGCCATTATCATCTTCATTACAATTTGTGCATGATGTCCATCCTTATCAAAAAACACAATACGATACAGATATTTCTGATGAATTTATAGACAAAAGTCGGTCACCATATGTTATGCGTATTCAAGGATTCAAGACAACAGCAGATAAAGGACAAAGTATCTTGCCTCGAATAAAAGTAAGTATTAACGATGAAGATTTGGTTTAGATATTCGCATACCTTCGTAATTAATAGTTCAACGTATTAGCTTTTGAACTCAAAATTAGATCACCATTTGGTCAAATCGTTTAAGCCATACTTTCAAATATCTTTCAATACTTCTTTATTTTACAGCAGTTATAATCTTGATTAGAGATGCAACGATGACGATTATTCGCCGGTGTACCGCCACTGTTTCACCGATTCAAACCGATAATCGTAGGTATGATTACCAATTTTCATCGGTTTTTCATGAAGGAAAAGTTTTTTTCTTTGAGAAAATAACTGTTTTTATATAAAGGTTGACGTATAAAGGTTGACGAAAGAAAATCAGGATCGAGGAATCAGAAGATACAATCAGTTTCTCAAAATTGTATGCTAAGTTTTTTCACATCAGAAAAACCTGTTGCAGGAGAGTAGATCATGAAAGCAAGTATAGGATTTAGAGAAGCCGATTACAAATTCAGATTTACCAACCATGATTTGTTTTCGTCAACCTTTATGAGAAACCGTTAGTTTCTCAAAAAACCCTCTCCTTTTCGAAAAAATGGTAATCGTGCCTAGAGTTATCATAGACGAGCGATAACCGTAGGTATAGTTATTGTCACCGTTGCACTGCTAATCTTGATCTCAAACGCATCTATTTTGCAACTAGAAGCGTATGCCAATGTATTGATCGATGGCGACTGAAATTTTTCGCTTTTTTTAAAAGTTCTCATAACTTCACAAAGTTTTGAAATGAAAAAGAGAGAAAACGATGGTACAGAATTTATTGACAAGAAATTAGACGGTAACATTTTAAAAAACTGATTTAGGACATTGTAAATTGCTAAAAACCAACTTTTTATGTTTGTGTCGTAGCGACGGCTAAGCTGATCAGCTAATACCTCTAGTTGCAGCACAGAAGATCTCTCATTATCGCACTTAATTGACATGTATCTAGAAATAGAATAAAGGATCATATTACAAATTAAGATAGAAATATTCTCACTCATTTGTAGTGTTTGAGCTAAGCACTTTCAGATTCTAATGTTACCATATTCAGCATTTTATTCAAATTTTCTCTTCTGAAGGAACGACCTAAAACTGTAGAAGAGCGAATAACTACTTTGGGAGCACAGATACGCAGCATATGACACAATAGCGACAAATCCCGGAAGGGTATCGTCTCCTCAGCCCCACGCTAGATAAAATACTGAACAAATGATATGAATCAGAAGACCTCGTATAAACTTTTTTAACAACTCTCTTTGATGATCGACTTATTTTTTTTATACTAGATCCCAAAATCTTACATTTCTACATACCATCGATTAGCGAAACCCTTGTATTTAATGGTCGCTGTTGTGCGAGAAGAAAAAGTTAATGATAAGCGAATTTTCTATCCATGTGAAGATATACAGCTCTTACCTGCTCACACAAACAAAAATACTGAAGCCGTAAATCCAATTCAACTAAATCTGAATTCGTTACCTATAGAATCTGACGAAACTTTTCGGTAAGGTTATTTAATCTATACTTTTGATGTTTAGAACATAACTTTTATTGAGGTTATCACTGCGATTAATAAATAAGTCATTGTCATCTATTAAAGACCATTCAAAAAACAAGTTATTCTATGAGCTTGATGATAACATAGTTAAAACTTTACATCCTGCTCCGTATGATCCAAGATTCATTCGACTTCTATGTACACTTGTGCAAAATGATAGGATAGCGTGGAATACTTTATGTCTATCTGACTATATTCGTCCAAGTAAAATAATTCATATTTAATTAAAACATAATATTAATAATTGATTTATTTTAGAGCAAGAGTTACAAATATGATCACTATATGGACATTGTGGATTAGTCTCAACTTTTGAGGAAAAAAAAAGAATTTTAATTTAATAAAACTATTCTTCTATGTAATCATGAATTGTAGTTGTCGAAATTCTGTACTATAGTAATATTAATACTATTGCGAGATTAATTATACACTATTTAGACCTTGAGAGGCAGTACTTCACTTTATTTAGAAATTGTTTCTAAACTGAGTGCGATATATTTCATTGTGCTCATTTACTTAGAATAGAATGATTGTTTTTTGAGTTCAACTTCAAATACTAACATTCAAAACATCGAAACCTTTCACTTTAAAGTCGACATGTTTTATTTATTTGGAGAAAATTAGAAATAATAAAAATTTGATAGTAGTCACAAACAACTAACATCAGACGAAAATAACATCTCGGTTGTATAAAGTCAAATAAACATGTAGTATTCAACACTTATGGTATTGTCAATCATATTTCAATTGATTTTACTCAAATAAATAAAAGCCCATTAGCATTATGTCAAAGACAAATACAGAAAAAAACTCTAGACATACTTTGAATTATTATTTTAATGATGTGCTCATCATAGGAAATAAAGATAAAAAATATGAATTGGTCTGGTTTTATCATTATTATTTTAACACACAATGGATGCTATCAAGAAAGCAAATCGAACAATGAAAAAGTACTTGATCAAAAAAAATGATACAGAGAAAAAGAAAATAATATACAAAACCACAAAAAAAAACAAATGTTTCTATAAAAGTATTATATTTATTGTGCATTGTCTTACTCACTAAAATGTTATTCAACTGTTTAGGATTAAGACTAACTTTTTGTATAATTAGACCGATTCGTGAGAACTGTTTCTTCACACTAGCTGAAGTAGTAGCAGGTATTGATTTAATAGATCAGGCTTAGCGAAACAAACGGGAGAATTCAGGTTAATGCTTCTTTTAAGATCGCAAAGAATTATATTCTAGTTTTGATTTATCAACTTCGTTGACTTTTTACCATGAAAATGCTTGGTTCAAGTTGACTGAATAAATCTTCTTGTGAAATTTCTGGTGTAACCGTTTGCTAGTTTGTTGCCTATCTGATTGAGAGATGGATATAGGACAGGACGAAAATTTTAGTTTCATCCTAGCCTGTACGATCTGGAACGAAATATCTTTGAAAGAAACTACGTCTCCTATTAATGATGTTGATTTTGTGTGGAGAAAAAAATTGCAGAAGACGTATCATTTTTATGATACTTATCAAATACTCTCAATCTGCAATTTGTTACAACATATTATATGATATTTTGTATCAGTGTAATCGAAAAAATAGTTAACATGAACAAGTAAAGTTGTTTCAATTCGAATTTTCTATTGCAGAAAAGTTTTTTGACGATTTCTTTTATATCTTTATTTTGATTATTAAAAATAAAACAATAGAACAAAATAGTTTTCTTATAAGAGACGGAGATGATTGTAATCATTGTACAATTAACATCAATGTTGCAAAATCTATAAATTACAACTATAATATAAAGAGAAAATAAAATGAACATATACCTTTATAATTAATATTTCCATCTATTTCATGTAAAGAAAAAAAAACAATTAATGGAATAAATACTATTAACCCATCTTACCAGTATTTGTTTCTACAGAGTGCAACAATTCCCTCATTTTTTCATTACTCAATTGTGTTCCAAAGATACGTCTAAAGACAAATGAATATTTTCATATTAAATTTAAATAAAATATTTACTGTATAATTTCTTTTGAAATAAATCCGTTATTATTTCTATCAAATGATATTGCTCGTGCTATATTAATTAAATAATCTGAAAATCGATGAGTATTTTGATTTAAAGGTTGAATTTTTCGTCGACGACAACAACACCAATTTGGACAAACTAAACATGTTAAAAATTAAAAACAACCCTCAATTCATTTTGTATCTAAAACTAAAAACCAACCATTAATAGTATTCATTTCAGCAAGTTCACGTTCAATTAATACAATTACAAACTGTTTTTCAATATTATCATCGTCATTTTTTTGAAAATCAGCATCTTCATCATCATTATCAAGAGATTCAATAAAATTTTTCATAATTGATACTATGACAAAAATAAGTATCAATGAAAAATTTAAAAAAAGATGAAATTTATTTTTTCACAAACTTAATATTCCATTGAGTACAGAACGATCACCTGTTTGATCAGCTAAATTAATCGCTTCCGAAATTTCTGACCATTGTTCATTGGTTAATACATTGTTATTATTCATGACAATGTTGATTTTATTTTGATGTATGTTGAGATAAATTGTTTGACAAATGCATGACCAGTAATAATAATTTTTCTCTTTTCTATTACCTTGTCGAAAGTGCATTTCAGATAAGAGGTTTCTTTTTTTAGTGATATTTGAAATAAAGAATAAAAACAGCAATCTTAATCTACCCTCAAAGGATAATCAACAGTATCAATATGAAGTATATATTTTACTCAGATGATTTATGAAATATTGCGTCATATGACATTTACTACTACGATTGAGTCGAGGCTCCTTTGGTGATATGATTTACTTGAAATTACGACATTCGAATATTATTTGAGAAAAAAAAGGATATAGGAATCGGTGACTGAAGAAATCAATTCCCAACAAAAATATGGTTTCTGTCAAGTCAAACTCTCACTCAAGGTGTCCCAAAGTGATCCTTGGATTCAGTTTTGAATGTTGATTCAGAATATTATATTAGTATTATTCAAATCGTATTTTTCTAATCGAAATCTACTAAATATTAGGCGAAAAAATCATGTATCGAGAATAGTCTACTTAAGGGGCCCCCCCCCCCCTTAGAAAATCCATTTTTTGGTAAAGTAATCGAAGTCGAGTTTTTATCATAGAAAGATGCAGCGAAGTTTCCTCTTTCAGAATATATATAAATTTTTAAAAAAAGGTCAAATTTTTACAGACTTTCGTAGGAGACTTCCAGCTCAGTACACGGTTTTTGGAGAGATTTTCGTGGTTNCTGCCACCCTTAAGAATATCTCTTTGTAGGCAGTGATTTTTCCGCAATCTTTTTATACCATTTTGAAGGACTTTAAAAGGCCTGATTATCATCCACAGTTAGATTGAATCTACATGTAACGGTCATTGACTATTTCAATTGATTTATGTACAACAAAAATACGTTCTATATGACTAATCCTACTCGGACTCACTTCCGGGCACCATCATTCTCCTTTGCCAAATTGAATCTCATGAGGACGTGATGAAATGCAAGTGGTTATTGTTTTATGTTTTTCGATTTTAAAAATAATTTATATAGTATAAATGGCGTTTAACTAGTTTTTATGTAATTTGTTTCATAACTTATTTTTTGATCGATGGTATAAATTTAGAAGAAGCAGATGAACAGCAGTTTTTATCTTTCTTTATTATATAATCTGATTTTCGACTTGATGAAATAGCAGCATTAGCATTGTCTGAAAAAGCATTAACATCTTGAATTAATACGCCATCGTTTTAATTTGCTTGACTATATAGAGAAAGATGCAACGATTTTGTGTAGTGAAAAAAACAAATTATATAGATGTAGCTGATTCATGCAAGCTAATGCCAGTTGTTGGTAGTATTGAAGATTCAGATTCTTTTTTATCTTGCTGTTGATCATTCAGGGAAACAACTACCCTTGAATTATTTATATCAAAAATATCTGAATAAGAAATTCATTAAATATGTATGTCTATGACATTTAATTTCGAAAGCTTACTATCTGTATCAATTGATGGATCGCTTGTATCCACTGAATTTTTTTTATTATGAAGACTTGATTTTTCTTGAAAAGTTTTCGAATCAATATTCGACAATGTATATTGTTTGATGATATCTTTCGTTGTTGTTAATTTCTTATTACCAAATCCTATTGGAAATAATTGATATTGATTATCTACATTATTTTCGAGTAATGTGGATGAAAGATAATAAGCATTGAATAATTCATTTGTATTTAATGAATATTCAAATACAATTGGTATACCAATTGGTATTTCTTGATTAACAAATTCATCTACAGTATAATTATTCAAAAGACGAATAATTGCTTTTATTATATCTTCGTGTGTAACAACGAGAATATTTTTACCAAAATATAAATTACTCAATAATTGATCATAAAAGAACGGTAAAAGTCGTTTTCGGATATCACTGAGTGTTTCTGTCGATGGAACAATTGACGAGATATTACGATATTTATAATTCAATCGAGGATGTAATACGCTCGATTCTTCAAGTAGAGAAGGTGCTGATTCAGCTTGTGTTAGCCATTCTTTAATTTGATTTTGACCAAATAAAGCTTCAGCTCTGTCACGATGAAAACCAGTAAGATTACCTAACATACGATCATTAAGTCGCCATATATTATATACAGGTAACCATAAATAATCCATTTCTTCTTGAATAATAAATAAAGATTTAATTGCACGTTTAAGAACACTTGTAAAACATATATCAATGGGAAAATTTGCTTGATGAAGCGCTTGGCCTGTTCGATGCATTTGTTGTTTACCAATATTTGATAGATCACAATCATTCCATCCAGAAAAACGTTTATCAACTTCATCTTGACTCATTCCATGTCGTACAAGAATAAGTAAACAACGACGTTCATAATCATTGTGTTGTATATCTGATTGAATAAGAGACTTTTTTACTCGTGAACATTTTGTACGTTTATTTATACAACAACGACATTGACAAACAGCACATTTAGCACAATCAGATGAATGTTTAATGATATTGGTTGTCATTAAAGAAAAACAAACTGAATTATATCGTTGTCAAGACTTATTTAAATCATTTTTTTCTAAGCGAAAAAATTTGTCAGTTAGTTTGCTTGATTTTGAATAAGGTTTTTGGTTTTGTTAATAAAACTATTAAAGTGAACAACGACAAAACAATCTAAACCAACGTTTTTGTTTAACTGCTAGTTTCGCGAAATAGAAATTTTTGCAAATCAATATGCAATATAGTTTTTCTTATTTTTTGTCATTGAATAATTTATTCGTCTACTTGAGCAATATAACGGTTTTTAATACGGTTAAATAAATTCTGAGCAGTTCGAAAGAACTATTATATGTATAATTGTTGTACATATATTTCATTTAATTATTTCTTTTTCTTAATTCATATTGATTCTTGATTAAAGCTTTTGATTAACACTTTGGTTTTAAACAACAAATTTACAATAAAAAGCAAAGCAAGTATAGTTTTTTTCTTGAAAACATCACCATAAAATGAAATGAAATGAAATAGCAACAAACAAGAACTTATTTAATGAAAAATAAAAAATTTACTAGCTTGAGACCTTGTTGTTGACATAGGATCTGCTGTTGTGGTTTTTGTCGAAACTACGGGTCGATAAACTTGTGATGCAATACCACAAATATTTTCTCCTCGAAGAATTCGAATATAACCATTCTCACCCCAATCTTATCCTAGCCGAGAATTTAATGTTTGATTCTTTATTTAATGCATAGTATTTCAACAAATCCCAACTATTTCTGGCAATCCAATATGGTTTTCCACTTTCTGTATTTCCATAGTCGACTAATTGTAAAACATGTGTATCAGTACTTTGAGAGCAATTCTTTTCTTTGTAAATACCTATTGATGAATTCATTCAATTAACTCTGACTATATAACAATGCTTATCGTTATATATTAGTATGACAATGTGAATAAACTATTTTAATAAGTGACACTATTGCAAGCGCAAGATGTATTTTAATTTTAATTATACCTCTTACTTTTTTTCAACTATGCAGTCAATTAGGAAAAAATAAATATTCTGTTGAATTCATCGAAATTGAAATGCTAATCTCATCATATATGTTTAGATATTTATAACACGAGATACTAACCAGCTAAAAATTCAAAAATTGCTTCTAAATATTTGACTAAATTTAAACGGAATGAATGTAATATAATTGACTTTTAGCTTGGTCAAACCATGGTTTTTTATGTTCTCATAAGAAACTATTAATTAGACAATTAGATGAGAAAGTTTTAATTGAACGGTGCATCAGTTACAGTCAGAAATTAATCATGTATATATTATTGAATTATGAATACTTTGAAAAGAATTCGAACTCATAGGCTATTTCTGTCGACATATTACATTTTTAGAATATTTTTTAATATAATCCCGTAAAAATGGACATGTTATCAGCAATAAACTATGGGCTTGAACTCTTTTCAGGATATTCATAATCCATTCGAACCTACATGATGCACATAGTCTTGACTCAAACCCGATTTTTGCAGTAAATGTTTTGATGGACATAATCTAAAAAACAGCATTATATTCATTCAAAAAGATAAATGTATCTTTTTCTCTGTTATATTTTCTGTTATGCAATACTCTTTTGTCGAAGATTCGAATAAAGTTGCGCTTACCACCCTCGTAATTGGAAAATGACTTTTCAGACGCATCAAGGCCAATAAGTAATGTTGATTTTTGTATCAATAGTAATAATGCATTATCATCTTGCTCTCGAAAATGATCGAGTGTATCGAACTATTTACAGGTAGTCGATGAAAAGAAAGCATAACATGATCGGTAAGTGGTTTTAAGCATACAGAAGCAAATGGTTTACAAGCATTGTCTTCACAGATGCCAAGAACCGTGGGATAATCGTCATGAGTGCATATACCATCCATTAGTCGTATACATTCAGAAGTAATTATGTCTTTGGCACAACAGTCAATTACACGAGCAACACTTTCACGTTGTAGGTTTTCAGTTTCAATTGCATGGAGGCTCTCAATGGTTTCTACAGTATAATAAAAAGTACAAACACGCAGTAGAATATTCGTACCAATACGAATATATTCAACTAGAACGTTCTCTTGGCTATTAGTTTTACAATATTTTGCGAAAGTTCTTGCTAATATATTTTTGATGATTTTATTTAGCAGTAAAAGATGTCCTTGAAACAAAATGGATTAAAAACTTTACTTTGAACTTTTGAATGTTTAAATTTTAATACTATATAATAAATAGATTGCTTTTTTTTACATGTTATTCTTATTATCTATCAATTTTCTCATGACAGAAAGACAACTACTTATAATATAGAGATGCGTAAACACGCAATCTATTTACCAACCATAACAATTCCAGCAACATGTGAAGAATCTGAATAATCCTTGACCAGTGTTACAAGACCTTTTGTTCGTCAATCAAGATTATCCGGGAGCGCTTTTGAACTAAATTCATTTTTTGGTTTGACTTCACTTGCAAAGATAATGCAATGTTGCCAGTCCTAACCACGATTTCAATGGAATAATAGATAAGCTGATGAAATTAAAACAACGTAAATGTGACTGCACTTATGCTTTTTCAACTTACTAGAGCTAACTACATATATTGAAATGTAAGGTTAAAAAAGATGAAGACGAAATCTTGTAAAACTGATAATGTGCCAATATATATATATATGAATTCGAAGTGAGCTTTTCTAAAAGCTGAAAGATGAAAATGATTAGGTATATTTAATGAGAGCATGCATTACCAAAAATTAAAGAGAATGTTGAACAAAACAAAATAAGATATATTTTCTCTGCTGTTTCCTTCCATAATATTTTTCGATTAATTTGGTTGTTTGAATATTTACTTTCAGCACAGGTAAAAAGGGTGTAGAACTGATATCCGTTTATCTTTATCTATGAGAATAACAAAAATAATAATTGCACCATCACTTTACAAGAACATAGAATATGTTGTAATTACATAATCGTTACTGACTAGACTATATATATACATTTATATGTCAATATGAGAGAGTATATTGAATATTATATTATAACCATGAAAAAGACGAACTCTTTTTCATTAAGAGCACTTTAGTATATTTATCTCTATTGATTTATTTAAGTTGTCAGTATAACCTGTTGCAAAATCCGTTGATAAAGTATTCGATATATATATATACTATCATAGCGATAGTTTAGTTCGAATCAATACATAGTTATTCTTTTACAGTACTCAAACTAATCTGTCTTTGATAATGTGCGTCTTTTACAAAAATAAAACAAACTCGTTTTCCATACTGATTGAAAACATGATGGGTGAACATTAAAATAGTATTCTGTTTATTCTTGTACAAGATCGTAATCGAAAAAAAATGCATTATACAAAAAGTTTTAATTGGTTCTATTTTCAATGTTTTCTTTTCGCGTAAAGAAAAATAGTCTTTGGATTATTTTAAGTGTGTTCAAGTTATTGATAGCGATAACAAAACAAGCATACTGATAATTTTATTTTGTCTGTCACTTTCTACAACATTAGTCGACTTAATAAAACATCTTTTTCTTTGATTGATAATATACTCTCAATTTCATTCTGTTGAAATATGTCAATGAACATTGTTTGTCCTTTGTCATTAATACACGGAAAAACATATTTCTTCCATAGAAGTAATGGCAGAAAAACGAAGTATAATGCCGGTACCTAATTCATCACTTCTCTGCACTGCTCTGTTCGCGTTGAGTGCATCACATATTTATTCATATTCCATAAACAAATAAGTATTTTTCATTTGTAATATCTAACATTTTTATCGTTTCTGATCGATAATATCTCAAATATATGGAGTCTTTTCTACAGAAAAATCTCTCATCAAAAACACTAATATTACTGTTTTATTGCAATCAATGGACTTACATCTTTGTTTTGCCTCATCCTACTTTTAATATGATGTAAATCTGATGTGATATATTACACGAACTTTGAGTTTTTTATGATCACATTACTGTATTAGCTGGTTGTTCAAATAACTCATGGTTTATTTGTTATTTGCTCGAATAGCCATGTAGTTGGATGAATGATATAACGGATACATTCTTTTGAAAATTATTCAAGCATCACATAGCTAAGTGTAAGAGTTTGAGAACATCATCAGTGAATTAGAATTGTTTACGCTATGCAAAAAGTGCAGATTACTGAAAAGTTCTGTAACTGTTTCAGATAGAGGATTTATTGTAGACAACATTCAAAGATTTTTTGCTTTTAGACTTGAATAATCAGATCAATCATATCTTCTAGCAGTCCCAACGATTACTGTTCGACGCTCTTCTTCTGATGTATAATACATCATATAACTATAAATATTTATCCATGTAATATTGACTTTTTTGATACACATATATCATATTATTATTGATGACGTTTTCCGGCAGTGGATATGAAACAAATTATAAGACTACAATAAAGAGTTAAAAAGCAATATATTTGCTGATAGGAATGGTACTATCCATATATTTTCTTATTGTAAATCTTTTTTCAATTTTTTTTAGCTTAAGATATCATTAAAGAATTCCATGAATGTTACTAAATATTGTCTTTCATTCACCTGTGTCACAATTATTAATGTTTTAATCGCTTTGCTTTAAAATAATTTTATGAAGACGATTATACACTCTCATGTGAGATATGTATGTATTTGTGAAGCAACAATGACGTGTCAATTCAGATTTCCATTTTTTTAAATTAAACATAATTAGTCAGTAGTAAAATGACCGAATGGTTGCTTAGTAGTATTTGACTCATTCTCATGTTGTCTAATCAATGTATGTATTAAAGTGAAAATCATAATGCACCATCATTTGATTTGATGAAAACACAAAACAGAAGAACCAAAGAAAATGACTGAGCGTAGGTTTCTATTCAGAAAGAATTTATTTTACGTATATATATTTAATTGCAACAATTTGGTGCTTGACTCGTGTAAATGAATAATGATAACAT